TTCCATCTATTATAGCAATAAGCATATCATTCTATAGAATGCTCTCACAGTTAATTTACACATACATATTAATTATTTTATGATTAACTAAACGCACACAATTTAAAGCTAACAATAAGAAGAGCACGCATCCCACGATGTCCCTGCGAGATTCCTCGTCGTCCTACGCTGGCGGGTCTAATATTTTACTTATCAACTAATTGTCCTATAGTTCAGTTTAGATCGTGAAATAAAGAAAGGAAAGAAATTTGTACGATCTAAATTGAACTGTAAATTGCGTAATTCTTAGCTTGATATCATTTTACAAACATTAAAGTTTATTGTTTATCGTTTTACAACTTAGCTTGATGACGTTTTACAAAACTTTAATGTTTATCAACTACCAAGACCCACTACATGGAGGTGACTACGCACGGGTCTCATTATAGTTTACTGTAAATCAGTACTGTTTTATGTATTTATCTCACGATTTATATTGAATTGAAGTATTGGGGAATCCGTGATGAAGATGGTCAGTTTTCGTTACATCGTGTTAAGGCCCCAACAGACGTTGAAATATGCTGCAGTCGCATTTGATTTGAGATGTTTTAACGGACATCGATTAATTAACAAATTAATCTTTGTAACTTTTTTTTAACTAAAAACCGTAGTGTTGCAGAGAGTTTTTCCTCTGCGCTAACTGCATCTCTAATGATTGTATTTCTTTTTTCAATCCTTGGGCGAATTTTATTCAACAAAAATAATAAAAAGCAGAGTGATCCATACGCAGATAATTTCTATAATCACAAGGTTCAATTGTCTTTACCACTTTTAATAATGCAAAATTGGAAAATCTATTTCTCTGGATTATCCATCTTTTTGCCCATTTCTGTTTAGTATTTAATTTCTTTCTATTCTTTGTAAGTGATAATAAACCTAATATTACTATCACTAATATTGGGGTTGGAAGACGATCCGACATTTTAAAACACTTGTTTTAATTTTGGCGTCACACGAGGAACTGAAGAATCGGTAGAATGGAAGCAAGCTGATTCTGAAATATCATCTGATGTTTCATGAAACCTAGGAGTGACTTGATGCAACATGTTTTAACGTCTATAAGAGCCTTTATGTCAAATAAAATGATGATCAGCAGGAGGGACAATTCAGTCCGAGTTCTCGAACGATTTGGACGAACCGCAGTTCCTTCGAATATACATCAGTTATATAATTTATGTTTTTTTTTTTTTTTTTTTTTTTTTTT